CTAGTCCCGTTAGTTGAGCGGGACGGCCGAGTAATTTAGTTACTGTATCCGGAGTAGATGCAGCTAACTTTAACTTATATGGAACGTCTGAAGCTTGCTTGATGAGATAAACTGGGGCATTGGGATGGTCAAAACTGGACGTTAACCGCGACTATGATGGTTAGATACTGAAAGAGCCTTCGAAAAAGTTGTGCCCGCGACTTCGTTCGCTTGGAATAGTGATTTACTGCGCCTACCACGTAGGTGATAGCGTGATTATAAGTAGCCTATATGTTGACCCGACCCGTTAGTAATATTCAGGCAAAGTTTAAAGAAAATCCATACACGACTTTACACACACAAACAGATGAAAAATATAAACACCATATTTTTGGCTTTAATACCGATTGTGAATCACGCTTCAAGTATTCTTTAAAAAAATATTCAATATACATATTGTACATGTACATACATGACCTTTCTACGATTTTATTGTATGTATAGATAGATATAGAATACTAGACTAGTAGAAGTAGTAGGACGACCAGTAGGTATTATGAAGTACGTAACTTCATATAATACAGTCGTTATACCAAAGTGATTTAGCCGCCGTGCTCAGTTGATATAAAGCTGAACTTGGAGGGCAGACTAAGGACGAAGTCAACCGAATACTACATTCAAATAATTCCACTTATTTGTTTAAAAGGGTCCCCCGATCCTTGTTAACACTGATTAGATTGTACAAATATCGACTATAGGGTAAAAATGTTGAGACAATATTTTTAAGACTTCGTAAATTTGTTTTAAGACCAAGTAAAAAAGGGTTAGATATGGACTAGATTTTAATATGAATGGACAGTCACGGGCTACGTCTAGACTTCAAATTTTTATAGGTACCTAACACTTAGAGGGCAGTCAAGCATACAGATTACCTGATGGTAAGCGAGCATGGGTAGCTCGCCGTCCGACCAGAACTAGACCCGAGCGTATGAAATGTCGTGTTCCACGCGCGCCTTCATCAAGAGCCATCAGGTCACTACGAATGGGGCCCAATAGGGCTGATGCCGATACGGAACCGCGGAGAACTTAACGGGTTACCGGGGCTCCGGCTCGAAGTGCAGGAGTAGGAGCGGGGTGGTTTTTGGTCAGTAAGAGTCTGACACTCCCTACCGCCACTCACTCCCTCATACAGACGGGGGAAGTGATTCGATATTTTTCCCCCTTAAAAAAAGCAATCAGCTGCCTACCTTTAACACCAAATAAGTTGCAAGTCCGTTGAAGCCTATCGATCGAGGGAATTAGATTAAACAAATGTTAATAAACCTGTATAAACATGGGCCTATGACTTAAGCATTTATTTAAAGTTAAAGAATCCTTTCAACGTATTAATAAACTAAGTGTAGTTACATCAAAACGAAGAAGATAAACGCTCCAAATGAAATCAACGTTAAAGCATTTTAATTACTTAATACTAATTAATATTGAAGCAAGCAACATTATAATTAATCATTTTTCATTTTGCGCGAGTCATCGGTTTGAAGGCATCGATCCATCGTGTTTGCGCTGCGTAAACGAAAACAGAGCCGAGATTTTATTTATTATCAAGTTCATAATATTTTTTGCAATAAGTTTAATAGAACGAGCTGTAAAGTAAATAATTAAGTTCTTTAACATAACATAACATCACGCCTTTTATTCCGGAAGGGGTAGGCAGAGGTGCACATTATGCCACTGTACAATCATGTAACACCCACTTTTCACTATTTATGTTATGAGTCCCATGTAATAGGGGGTGAGCCTATTGCCATATACCGGGTACATTTCCAGACTCCGAGCTACTACTGAGATTGTTTTTTTAAAAACCCAGTAATACTTTGCCCGACCCGGAAATCGAACCCAAGACCTCTTGCCCAGCAGTCGCACTTGCGACCACTCGGCCAACGAGGTAGTCAGTCAACGAGCAATTAAGTTCTTTCTTACTTATAATCCTTGAAAATATAATGTGTACACGTGTACCCAGGGCCGGCTTAGACTACGCTGCGGCCCTTGGGCACACAATAATTCCGAACCCTTGTGGAATGTCTCTTTTTACTAAATATCGTGTATATGTTTACAAACTTAAAAGTTCACATACACATGACATCCAGACCCGAGACAACAATGTGTGGTTCACAAAAAGATTTGCTCTGTGCGGGAATAGGTCCCGCTATACGTTGCCGGACAGCCAGTTGCCGTGAAAGTGTAGTTGTGTGTCCGTCGTAGATATTGTCGGTCCTTCGGGGCCCCATGAGGATGGGACCCTTGATGGGGCACTTGGGTACGAGCCCCACGTGCCCTTATCATTAAGACTGAGTCTACCGTTGTAACAAGCAGAATAAGCTTAAATATTCTCAGCAATAAGAAATATAGAAATTATAATATAATGTTTCTAGATTCTACACTGTCTAGTCTAGGTACTAGGTATTAATAAAACACCACCAATTAAGAGTAAGACGGGTTATTATCCATTCCAATTATACCTGAAAATGATACACCTACATTGTAATGTGATGTACAGTACAGCCACGTTTAAATCGGTTAACTATACCAATGAAGAACATACTTTTAGCTACGAAATGTGGTATTCTCACACATAATCTTTTATACATATTTGTCTGGACTTTAAAAGAGACGGACCTCTGAGTTTGTATCGGCATTTCTTCTCAGAGTTGAGAGTAGTCAGTTAGGAAATGTCGACCTCATCGTTCGCTTGATAAAATTGACGTGTAAAAGTGCTGCCTTGTAGCCTATTTGCAAAAATAAATACACTTGTTTCACTTGTGAAACCGCACCCTCATGCATGAGAAGCGAGCGTCCTAAATCTCCGGGCCACCACGACACCACTATTATTTAATTCCTAACTGTTAAATAATTTAGTTCTGAAAACACACACAACATGTCACAGGTCTGGGTCTGATGATGTTGATAATTTGTACATGTTGTTATTTTCTTCATAGGAACGCCAACGCTTGGAAATGAAGACGACAGTAGATGTGGAAGAAATGAAGAAACTGACCGACGTCGTGGACTACGATCTAGTGCATTTGCAAAAGTAACTATGCTTTTTCTTTTTTTTTATGGCATAAGCCGGTAAACGAGCAGACGGATCACCTGATGGTAAGCAATCGGTGTCGCCCATAGACACCTGGAACACCAGAGGCGTTACAAGTGCGTTACCGGCCTTTTGGGGATTAGGAGTTTGAGGATCGTTGGGGATTCAGGAATTGGGGAGATTGGGGAAGGGGAGGGTAATTGGGCCTCCGGTAACCTCACTCATACGACGAAACACAACGCAGGCGTTGCTTCACGTCGGTTTTCTGTGAGGCCGTGGTATCGCTCCGGTCGAGCCGGCCCATTCGTGCCGAAGCATAGCTCTCCCACACTTAAAAACTTAACTTTCATTGTAACTTTCATTGCATACTAGAAATTATATTATCCCTGAAGAGGTAGGCAGAGGTGCACATTGCGGCACTTATTGCCACTGTAAAATGTAACACCCACTGTTCACTACTTCTGTTATGAGTCCCATGTAATAGGGGGTGAGCCTATTGCCATATTGAAATTATACCCGATTAATTTCAGACTCCGTGCTACTACTGAGATTTTTTTAAAACCCGTTTTACTTTGTTCCATCCGGGATTCGAACCCGAGACCCTTTGTCCGGCAGTCACACTTTTACTTACTATATTAATAATTATGTTTTCGGCTTACTTATGTACCACTAACTCGACTAGTTTCAAACCATACCAGAGGATTACATTCATGAGCAGCATTCCGTGACACACGACGCGGCGACTGTCGCGCTGCTACTAGTAGCTACTAGGTAATTGTCAAGTTACTCGTCAAACAACTACGTGAGTAAGCCAAAACCATAATAATTAACGAATTAGAAAATAATTACACTTACTTATAGTAAGTTATAAGTAGTTATAGTAAGTTTATTTTGAGAACAAGTACATTAACTACATGCTCTTTGAGTCCCCGAAACATGTAGGTAGGTGTATTAATTTCGATTTGATGACATTAGCGAAGTTACGACCAAAGCTATATCATGTAAAGTAGTAGTTTGAATTGAAATTGGACTAGTAGAATGCATTTATGTCAGCTTGGAGTTGTCATGTTCACTCAAAGATCGAATTGGCGGTGGCACGTGCATTGGGTCGCTAGATTCCCTGCAATATGGTTGAGTTGGGCGGTGCTGGTGTACGTGTCATGTTCGTGAACGGGCGCCATCAACTGTGACTGTGCTGTGGTCAGCTCCAGACTGTATTATTTATTGTCTTTAAGGGTTATTTTCTTTTTCGATCTCTTTGGCTAGATTTGGTGTTACATTGTTCTCGCACAATCAAACCAATAAAACTGTGTAACTGAAGAATTGTATTGTGAAACTGATTGGAAAAGAGTAACCTATGGAGTTTCTTGCTCGTTCTTCTCAATAGGAATCTACACCTTGGAATGAGCAAATAGCTTCATTTTTAAATTTCTATTGCTGACGTTCAAAAGTGCCTTCCTGGTCTAATTGAAATAAATGATTTTTGACTTTTGACTTTTTTGACTTTTTGAATATCTCAGTCGCAAAATGCTATAAGACGGGGTTAATGTAGCCATCTTGTCAAAAAGATTGATGTCAAGCTTAGATTTGATTTATTCGTTACTCCATCAAACCTGAAACCATTGAAAGACAACTTGAATTTACAAAAAAGATTCGCCGTCTAGACTCAGTCAAATATTAATGAGCTTGCGACTTTTACCAACTCACTAATGGCTAAGAAACTACTCGCTACTACTCGCTCTATTTTTTTTAATGTAAAATTATTTACCCCATCGAACATTCCAGAATTGTAATCAATCGAACACAAGAAAAAGTCCAAGAGTTACTAAGCCAAGAAGAAATAAAACTCTGACAAAGAAGAGAAAAATTAAAACAACTGCTTGAGCACGAAGAAGAGGCATTGGTACAGGAACTCGCGACCAAGCAGGAAATGGAGGAATGCGGCTATTGTAAGGAAAAGGAAAAGAAGCAGAAAGGTTATCTGGAAGAGATTGAGAAAGAGAAAATAAGAGAATGTCAGAAGGCCTTAGAGAGGGAGAAGATGTGAGTATTACTTAATAACACAAAGCTCATAGAAAGATGTCATAAATCTATATACTTATAATAAATCTGTAGAGAGGTCAATTCTGTACATAAAATATATTTAAAAAATAACTATCAAGGGGTGGTTAGGGATCGCTACTGATGCCAAAAATGCAATCAGTAAAATTTTTGTCTGTCTGTCTGTCTGTCTGTATGTTCGTTATGGAAACAAAAACTACTCGATGGATTTTAACGAAATTTGGCACAATTATTCTTCATACTGATGGGCAGGTTATAGTATACTTTTCATTACGCTACAATCAATAGGAGCAGAGCAGTGAAGGGAAATATTGGGAAAACGGGAGAAGTTACTCCATTTTTTTAGCTTCCGTCGCGTGTGCAGGCTTATAGGTTAAAGCTGCATAGAAATCATGTATGACGGAAATATTCTCCTTAAAATTATATAAAAAATATTCCTCGACAGCACATGTCTATCTTTTATGGTTGACTCACAATAACACGTGAAACTCCCGATAGCTTAGCAATTCGGTGATTTCTGATTGTATTTGTCTACTCTAACGTTTACAATACTGATTCATAGACTTTACGCTGTAACTGAAAGGCCAATGATTGAAATTAGCTTGACTCGATATTAAAAATGAAAATATGTGAGTTTATGTGTATGTTTGTTACTCAGTCATATTAAAACCACTGAAGGGATCGGAATGAATTCGGAACAGAGGTAGATTATGGTCTGAAGTGATACATAGGCATTTTACCCCTGGGATCGCGGGCGAAGCCGCTGGCAGAAACTAGTATTAAAATAATTGTCTATGTAATATGTCAAACTCCCAACAATGTAAAGTCACTAAGAATTTCGTAGCCAAGATCAGGGCCTTTACTTTTTAATGTCAATTTACAATATCTACCGATTAAATAAGCAAACAAGAAAACAAAATAAAAATACTTTCCCTAGACAGTTCCTATTAGTCAGATTACGCAAATCAAAAGCTGTAGTTATTTAGTGGTACGCGCCAACAAGAGAGGCCACAGAGTTGGCACGCTGCCCACAACGTCTACCAATAACTAATGTATTGTGAGGAACTAGGCGGGATAGCTTTATGTAACTTAGAAGCAAAAATGTTGTTTATTTTGGACGTATTTTTGCTACAGGAAGCTAAACTTCCGATATTTATTTTGCAGTGTACTAGACTTTGTTAAATTGTCACTTTGTTAGCTAAAGTTATCACTTTGTTAGCTACTTTTAGGTTCTTCCCGCGACTTCGTACCCGTTCCCGTGGGATAAAAAATAGGCTATGTTACTATGGACGATGTAGCTTGCGAATGGTGAAAGAATTTTAAAGTCGGTTCAGTAGTTTTTTAACGTATTCATTACAAACAAACAAAGTTCTCCTCTTTATAATATTAGTGTAGATTGATTTTCATTTGCCAGATAGTTAGGTGCACTTTCACCGATTTCAGTTTAGCCAAAACGTAAATAATAGAATCATTGACAAGAATAGTAATACTTACGACAAGATATTTCAAATCGGCCAGGTAGTCCAAGATCGTAAAGTGGTACAAACAAAGTCCTTCAACCAGAAAATAACATAAATAAATTATTTTCTCCTAATCATAATATCTTAATTAATAATTACAGAGCTAAAGGCATGCGCTGTACGAAAGTGGACGTGAAATGTCTTAAACAACAACAGCTGATGCAGGTGGAAGAGAAGAGGTCCATAGAGAGACAAGAACAAAACGTGGACATGATGTGGCATCAAGTTCTAATGGATGATTATAAAAGAAAGGTACATACAATTCATTAAGATCAGTGATTGTTTGTAACAAAGTCATTATTAAATCTGTGGTGTCAGGGCATATGTAAGAACAGGCAAGATATTTATTAACCGTGAAATTCATAAAACTATACACAGAAAATAAACATGATATATCTCTTTGAGTCAAGTCAGTAATAAAGTTAATAAATCAAACTTCATGATCCTGGTTTTCTAGGAATATCTAGAGAGATTAGCAGCTCAAAAAAGACAGCAAGAGACAATGGAAAGGCGAAGGTGTTACGACGAACAAATAGCAAGCGCCAACAAGAAGAGACAAGAGCTGATACGACAGGAGAGGGAGAAAGAGAACAGAAAGTTTGAAAAAATTAAAAAGAAAATGGAACAAGATCATTATGAAGGTAACGTGTAACTACATAATTAACAGCAGCATAATAACCAAAGTCAAAGTTGAAACCATTTATTTCAATTAGGGCGCTTTTGAACGTCAACCCACAAAATTAAACATTTACCCAAAGATAAAGAGGCTATTTTCAGCAATCAAGAAGAAAAAAGAACAACAAGAGACGAATAAAAAGAACTTCATAGAAGGACACGAGCAGAAACTGAATCGCATCCGAAACGAGAAGATGAGAGCGAGGGAAATAGACAACGATACCATACGAGTGGCGCTAGAAGAGTTAAGGAAAGAACGAGAGAGAAATAGGATACAAATAGTGAGTTACATATATATCGTTATTGTTAAATCGTTTAAACTTACCATGTAACTTAAGATGTTTTAACTGAAAAGTATTTCACAAAATTCCAAAGTCACAAAAACTTCTGGTCAAACAAAAATATCAACTAAGGGACTAAGGGTGTCTTTTAGCCAAGGGTATTGCAAAGTTAGCCGTTATAATTCTTCTCCCACAGAAAAATCTGCAAATAGAAAAGCAGATCTCCATCAAGAACTACAACTGTGCTAGAAGAATGGTGTCGGCTATGGAACACGAAGCGGAGATGATTGCTGACGAATGGCAACGAGAGGCGCAGGACAAGACAGACGAATATATGAGGCAGGTTGAGCAGGAACAGCGGGCGTGTAAAGAGGTTAGATGTTTTGTTTAAACGTAGTAACAATTTGTCGCGGAGAACCTAACGGGTAACCGGGGCTCCGGCTCGACGTGCAGGAGAAGGAACGGGGTGGTTTTTAGTCAGTAAGAGTCTGACACTCCCTTCCGCCTCACCCAGGCGGGAGCAGGCATTCGATGATTTTCCCCCCTAAAAAAAAAAAAAAACAAAAAGGGTTAGAAGAAGTAGATTACTATTTACCAATCTCAAATGTGAATGAAGACTCCATGGGGGTCGAATTCCATTCTGCTAAAAAGTTCATGAGTTAATTGTGACACGAAACCCATTTATTAAGCGATCGATTTTTAATGTACGTACCCATAAAGATTTTTTGAAAATGAATACCGTACCTACACTTTAATTCTAGCCAAGTCATAATTAAGAACACTCGACCAACGATGGAGGCAGAATTAATATATTTTCATAAGTAGGTAAGTAATTTTAGTTAAGTATTACTTAACTAAAATTAAATTCTAGAAAGCAGCAGAAGAATACAGGCGTCACATTCAAGCTCGGAATCAGGCGTTAGAGGAAGCAAAGTACGAGAGGAGCCAGCGAATGGAGCGGGTGACGAGGACGGCACTTAGTGAGCTGCAGCAGAAGATAGACAGTGCCAACCAGGAGCTTCGGAGACAGGCGGAATATAGAAACAGTCTCAGCTGCCAGATCAGGGAGAATGAGAGGCATTTGGTAAGTTGAGTTGTTAGAAAAACTTACAAATTGTTAAGAAGTCCGAAATTTTCTCCGGAATATTAACATACCTATTTACAAATTTGAGAACTCAGTACGAATGTACAGATTTTAAGATTTATTTATCGTACTTTTAGGAATCCGAATTAGTAAACATAGAAAACAAGGATATGCCCCATACCAGAAAAGCTACAATGTTCAAGGATGTCATGGCGACGAGATATGCAAGCTCTCCGGCAAGGACTAGGTAAATTCATACTCAAATATAAATGATACTTACACTAACAACAAATCAATTTTAATTATATTTTGAAATCGATAACTTAATAATAATTGTGTTTGTTGTTTTGCAGTACAAACCCTGTTCATCCCTTTCGAAGATTATTGGAAACAGCAGATAAGAAGGAATCTCTTCATTTACCATCAATAGGATAATTTTATTCGTTCTGTACAGTATTGTATAATAAGTAAAAGTTAATCATACCTTTAAGTGATAAATACATCCAAGTGAAGTCTTCCGCTTTTGTTTTCATTTTCTTTTTTGCTCTTTTGTTTTAATTGCTCCGCTATCGCCATCTCTCGAGCTCATTATGAAATAGTACAGTGACATCTATTATGAATCTCTTGTATTAGACAGCGTACTGTTTCCGTTTCCGTTAATCCGTTCTCAGTGAGTTACGTTACACGCAGTAAGATGACGCTGGCTGGCTATTAATTATTTTTGTTTTCATTTCGTTAGTTTTAGAAATAAATAGTAAAAATTAATTCTGTTTACTTACAAGTGTTGAATCGTATGAAAAATTCACAAAGCTTTATGTTTTCTAGATTTATTTTAAATTATTTGTTCTTGACATATGAAAAATAGTAGATAAATTGGAACGTGTTTTCCAGTTGACGGAAAAAAAGTTTCTACGAAACTTTTGAAAATTTTTCTTAGGAAAACTAACTAACAACGATTTTACACACTAATGTAGGTACTTCAAAATAAATCTAAATCATTTGAGATGTGATTTATATTCATATTAAGTGGGTAATTGAAAAACAAAAACGTTTTTGTTAGCACATGTTGTATTATGATAGTTTGTGCAGTTCGAAATTCTGAGCTCGAAACGATGCAGGACAGAGAGAAAAGTCCACAATATTCGTTGGAAAAATGTTCGTACAGGTTTCTGCAACAAACTGCGAAGTCTATGGGCTTGCCGTCCAATGTAAAGGTAAATAAAAATGTTTATTTTACTCCGTTTGATATCGCACATGTCCCAATTATGAAATTGGTTAGTAAGTTTTCTTTAGGGGCTTTCATAACTGAAAATAGAGTTTGATTTGTAATGTAATGCATTTAATTTCTAATTATGTGTACATACAAAGTCCTATAAGATAATTCTCTTATATTGGATCACATTTCTGATTATGTCTTACTAGAAAACTTAACATTTAGTGGTATCATAAGCATGTATGAAAATTATTTCAAATGAAAAAGATGGTAATGAACACCAGCATTACCTACTTGCAACTCTGAAAAGAAACACTAAAACAAACTCGGAGTTCAGTCTCTTGAACACAAACCTAAAATTGTAATCAATTTAATCTTACAGAAAATGTACCTGATTCAGCTGATAAATGCGAAGAGGTTTAGCAGTGAGCAGGCAGTGGAGATCCTCATAAAGCAAGTGCGTCGGGAACGCCAACACTGCTCCATGTTAAGAAGGAAAGCTGCTAAAAATCGCCTGAAGAAAAATGCACAGGTAAAATTAATTACCATTTTATTTGCATAAACTTTGTATTTATTCTATTGAAGTAGGTACTAACTAGTGTTATGTAGTATGATCTTTAATTCAGTACCTACTTTATTTGCTTTGATCTGGATTTGAACAAGTTAATTAAGTTAAAAATGTTACTTAACCCATATATCCCCAAGCGGTCACTGGGACTCCTCTCCACTAACTACATTATAGATCTTATTTCCAATGTTTAGCAACTACATTGTTTTTTCCATAAGTCTTCAAGTTACTGTTTCAATAATTATGACATTTAAATCAAAAGTTGTTATTATGTATTTACCCAATTAAACTGTCAAACACCAAATGGTCACTGGTGACCGCAACCTATTGTTCTTTAATTGTGTCTATAAATACGGTACTCGACGAGTTAAATTATTCCTTTTCACAAAAGATAATAGTCAAAACTGAATGCTACTCAACCAACTCTTTCAGCAAAGTTCAGAGATATCTTCAACAAGCAACGGTCACTCACCACCTATAACCCATATACCGAAGAGAGTCAGTCACATCCTCATCCGATACAGTCCGGAAGTGCATTCACCAAATAAATATCCTCGGACCATACAAAAAAGCATCTCTATCACTAGCAGTGACCGAGTACTACGAAGCTTTAATCGGATTAAAAAACCAAGTTATTTACTCAACGAGAATTTAATGAGTTTGCTTGACAGTCCGGAAGAGATTACCAAACAGGTTAGAAATACCAATAAGGTAGAAAAGTGTAGAAATGTGAAAAGAGTGTTTGCTAAGAAGATTTTTGATGGTCGCCATTGTTTTCATGGTGGGGAGGTAATGCCTGTGCAGAGAGATGCGGTAAGTTTATAATTTTCTTTTATAACCAGTTACATTTCAATTTGTGTCTTATTTGGATCACAGTGAACATACTCTTGATTAAACTAACATTTTTATTTACAAGTCATTTTTTCTGTAATTAAGTGTAGTCTAGTAACAGCAAGTACAGTTACTACAAACACAGTCTTAGCAAAACATTTCAAATACTCTTTTCATTACAGACCACTTCCCCACCACCAACGAGAAGACAGCAAAGACTAAGCGGTGTTTATCCCCTACAGCCTGAAGACATCAAGCTACCCACCGTCACAGTAAGACGGGCAGATGGCAGCATTTCCAAACTAAAAGCTATCATACAGAAACCACTTACCATCACTGATACACCATCCAACAACAGAAAAGAACCATTACAAATAACTGACAGACCACATAATGAACAGAATTCGTCAGAAATCCCACAAAATCTGAGCTACCGACCGTCAAATACAGATACAAGCACTCCAAATTACAATAACCAGCTATCAAACTGGTCTAATATGGGGTACAGAACTTCATCTGCATCTGAAATACCACACAATATGAACTATTTGTCTCAGAATATGATAGCTACCGTGTTCAATTACAACTATCAAGCACCGAGTAATGCATTAGCTAATGTACCGCAGAACTATGTCAGATACAGCAACAGCTCCGAAGACACAATGTCAGTTGGTTACCGTGACAATCAGTCCAATGACTACGGAGTATACTATCATAAGAAGATCAGAGCTGAACAAGTCAGGTCTTTGCGAAGTAGGGAGATGGCTCGGAGCGCTGAGGTAGAATGTCAGTTGCCAAGGATCAATGAAGTGTTCAGTAAATTCAATAGTGTTTATTGTAGCGATGTTACGGAACCATTGTATGTGCAAGTTGATAATGAACCGGAGATTGGTAAGTGATTATTTTGTTTTGTCAATCAAGATCTATTTTAAATATCTGTTGTGAATATACATATAACAGGTATTTCTATCTTTTCACTCAGAAAATAAAATTCGCTGAATATCTGAGAAAGGGGGTGGGATTCCGCACGTGGTGAAATCGACGAGTCGTAATCCTACCCTAATGGTTTGTGTACAAACATTGGACGTCGATTTTGACCTAAACATGCATAGTATAGTTTCTAATGCGCCTGCCACACATTCGACGAGTGGTATCGAGTGGTATAAGTAACGAGGACAGTAGACAGAGACGTAGTATGGCAACATTACTCGTCATGCCCCTCGTCCTGCACACTGCTCCCTATTTTGTCGGTTTTTGCGCGCGAGTCAAAGGACCGGCAATACGAAGAGGCAACGAGGACCGGCATGGCAATAGGAGCGTCGCGATTAATTACGCGAGTAGACCAGCGTGTGGGCAGAGAGGGTAAATCACGGCAGTGCGAGGAGCATAGTGATGAGCAGCGCAAGGAGCATAGTCTGGCAGGCGCATAAGACACTTTCTTTCTCTCAACTTCAATAATTGATAAATAAGGGTCATTAGGCTTTACAGAGCCTTCACCCTCATCTTTGTTTAAATCTAGAGTAATAATAATATGTACATTACACTGTGGAGATAAGGTTGAATTTATAATGTCAATTGGAATTTTTCTCTTTCAGCTCCACCACTTCAATCCTACATACCGGATCCTCGCATCCAATACCAAGTAAATACCCCAACCTTAGAGAAGTTCTACAACTTCAAGACTGCGAGCCAGTCTTTGCTACAGACTACCTCCAGTAATAACACACGAACAGTCTACTGCACTCCTGTTATATCTACCGCGTGAGTATTCTAATTTGTATTGTATGTGTATGTTCTTAAGAGCTTCTTTGCACTGCTTTTGAATGAGCAATAATTGTGAATTTAATATTCAGTTGTGGGAAAAATTACTTTATAATGCAAGACAGCACTTGCGTTATGAACTGTATTTGTATGCGCTTAAGAGCTTATTTGCACTACTTTTTAAGTGAGTAATAATTTATTATGAAAAATTTTAATTGGTCCTGCAACATAAGATCAGGCACAAAAGTTCATAAAAGCATGTTGCTATGTCACTGAGTAACAGATTTTCGACTCTATTATAAAAAAACCCTAGTTAGTAAGCCTCATCGAACGAATGGTCGCAAGTGCAACAACCTACCAAAGGGTACCAAGGGATTGGACAAAGTACTATTGGAGTTCTTCGGATTTCGAAAATTTCTTACAGCATGGATTCTGGTATATCATCCAGTATATGGCAATAGCTTCACTCCTTTATGCACTAAACAAGTAAAAAGTGTGTTTTACATTGTATGTATGAGCTTTGTAATGGTTACTGAGACAGGGGCTTACTCTTGAATTCAATTCGAATCGATCGACATGGGCATTGTGAAATTTCGCACTTTTAAGTTGCAATTCTAGCGCCCATGCATCCGTTTGCATGAATATTGAATTTATCCCTTACTCTGAATGCTATATTAACAGCTACAATAGGGGTTGTATAGTTTAATAATTGAATAATAGGGTACATGACTATTGACTAATTTTTATTTTAATGTCCGTCTGGCAGATTATTTTAAAAAATTACACAAAACGGATACTTTCGACGATTATAAATATATTATTGATTTTAAATATCGCGTGACGTCACTTCTATACATTTTATACGTAGAAATGACGTTTTAGCCCCCACTCCTAAACTTTGATTCGTTACATCTAAGTATCATTCTATCATATTCTATATAATATTCTTTCATCACCTAACTGACGGACTAATTAGATTTTTAATTTTCATACCCTGTCATCATCCCTATTATTGGTTTGAAATTGCATTGTAATTGATTGGGTTCAAGAGTAAGCACCTTGTTCGCGTCTGCCTGTATACTGCGCTTGAGTATGCACGTGTTGCTTGCAGCAAGGCGCAGCCGTCGGCGGCGGGCCCCGGCCTCTATAACATCGTTTGTGAGTCACGCTTACTTTACACTAACCATACTGCTTGCATATTTCTAGTTAAACTGTCTCGACTGCACGGTTGGTGCGGTGGCAACGTGTGCGGGTTCGATTCCCGCCGAACTCTTTGTGTAATCCAAAAATTGTTGTTTTGTGTCTGGGTGTTATATGGAGTGAACTTGAATGTTTGTAAACGCAACCACGACATAGGAGAAAATCCTAGTGTGGGCCTATGTTTTATTTTTGTTTAATTTGGGCCACTGGCCACAATCTTCCAGAGAATTTCCTGCAAAATTTAATACATTTTATACAGACACGGCCCAAACGCATTGGCTAGGTGACCGGTTACAGCGCATCGTGACACGGGAATGAAACGTTATGCATGTATTTCTTTTATAATTCTTGAGTATTTTTTGCAAATATTAAATGTATCAGACGTTAAACCGCTTAAAATCTAGTAAGTACGAAAAAATAATGGGGCTTAGCTATGTTATTATTTTTATTCGCACATGTTGCTTTTTTTAAATCTCAGCAGTAGCACGGAGTCTGGAATTGTGCCCGGTATATGGCAATAGGCTCACTCCCTATTACATGGAACTCGTAACATAAATAGTGAAAATTGGTGTTTCATTGTACAGTGGCATTAAGTGCCGTAATGTGCACCTCTGCCCACCCCTTCGGGAATAACAGGTGTGATGTTATATTATATTTTCTTACTTCTTGAGTTCACCGACAATATTTAAAAAGTTTAAGTCATTTACCTACTCATATCATAATGATATGTTATAGCTCCGCCCCGGGATAGCCAGGGACCATATACCCAGGTGCAGTACAACCAAGCACAGTATAACCAGGGCATGTATACGAACCAAGAGGAAATGCCGCGCGTTCGTGACTTCTTTAGGAGTTTCCACTGCGACGAGGACGCCGTCCAGGGTGAGTTGTACTAATTATATATCTATTTTACCCGCGGCTTCGCTCGCGTCACAAAAGGATAAAAAGTAGCCTATGTGACATACACCAATACATACAGCGCCATCTATACCAATACTTTTGTTTTCCCACGGGAATATAAAATTTTTTCGGGATAAAAAGTACCCTATTATTTAATCCAGACTACTAACTTTACGTCTGCAAAAATTCAATGCAATCGGTTTAGTAGTTACGGCGTGAAGTCGGAACAAACAAACAAACAAACAAACTCACTTTCCGATTTATAATATTAGTAAGGATATCTATACTAATATTATAAAGAGGAAAGATTTGTACCTATTTTTGTATGTTTGTAATGAATAGGCTCAAAAAGGGCCGATTTAAAAAATTCTTTCACCAATAGAATGCTACATTATTCCAATTTGACATGGCTACATTTCATTTTGAAAAAAATTACGGATCCTTGGTAAAATTTGAACAATGTAACCGAAGGTGTAGAAAAATGAGTCTTAATGTCTTTCGTCGAATGCGCTGCCGAAACTATTAGCGATAGAACAAAATATTGTACAACAATATTGAAGAACATCATAATGTCTACAAAAAACTCCGCGGTAGCATATGTCCAACTATTGTAGTTATATCACTACAACAATCCAAATTTCCAAAAATAAATAATTGTCTACCCCGTGCGAAGCCGGGACGGGCTGCTAGTTGTTTTATGAAGTGAAAGCAAAATATAGTGTCGGATTTTTGACCCTTCTATCTATGTGTAGGTATCTGTCTATAGTTTCGTGGCTCCTGAATGAATATACCGATTTCAGTGCGATTTTATAAATCGAAAACACTGTTCGTAGTCGTGGTTAGCACAGTGACTGAACAACCGCCTACCGTGCAAAGTGTAGCGGGTTTGATTCCCACACGGAGCAACTATTTGTGTGATCCACAAATTGTTGTACCAGGTCTGGGTGGTCATGTGTATGTGAACTTGTATATGTAAACGCACCCACGACTCAGGAGAAAAAGCTAATGTGGTGGCAATATAAAAAAAAAATAGAAATGACTATGAAGACCAAGACGAAGTAACCTTTGCTAAGTTTTTGTACGTTCAATGTGCTTGTAAGCGAATGAGCTGATCAATCTAAAACTTGTAAGAAAACATTGTAATTAGACATTACCACATTACAGACTCTCAACCTCTAGCGCAGACAGCGGACTTCCACCGCTCGACGTCGTCTATAGCGACACTGACGTCACAGGAACAAGACCACACCGCCAACATCACTATACCGGAGATGGTGGAGGATGCCTTCGAGATCATCAGCCAGGATGGAGTGAGTTGCTTAGTTCTTTGTAATAATTTGATATTATATTGTGTGTTTATAGTAAAACTTTCGTAAGATGCTAATTGATTATTATGTTTTCGGCTTACACACGTAACTGTTTGACGAGGAACTCGACTAGTTTCAAGCCAACAGCGCGACAGTCGCCTTGTCACGGGTCGCGGATCGCGGAATGCTGCTCATGAATGAGCCTAGTCATGAGAAACTAGTCGAGTTCGTCCTCAGACAGTTACGTGAGTAAGCCGAAAACATAATAATTAATTATATTGTGTGGTGACAGTTAAGTAGAATAGAATCACTAACCTGACTCTTCATGCTGGATTTGTTAAAACCCACTAAAACGCTACCTGAACCATTTAAACTAAGACCTCCGAACTGCCCGGCTAATGGAATGGAGATTTTGGCAAACCATCTGTCAAAACCATCTTGATATAAAAATTCAAATTAAATCCAAGATTTCTTAAACAAAGCAATGTTGCTGACTTACGAGTTTGAATTTTCTAACTTGTCTGGCATACTTTCAGGTTGTACTGATAGCAAAATTATGCGTTTTCGTATCTATACAGAGTGCCAAGCACGAATAATTCAACGCATTCGTATCGTAACAGTGTCGAGCGAGTTAAGCGTTCTGATTGGTTGGTTCACTTGAGCACGCCAATCAGAGCGCCGAACGCGCTCGATACTATTACGTTACGAATGCGATAGTTATTCTTGGCACTCTGATAAATAAAATTGGAGTGTCTGTTAGTATTATTAAAATACCCACTTAATTTACTACATGAATATATATAATTTTTGTGAGTCTGTCTATAGTGGGGAACCGATTTTTCAAGACTTTAATTGGCAGGTAGCTGATTTACTAAGGAAGCAATAAAAAATTACGTTCTAAAATGCATATTCTACTCGAACAAAGTCGCGGGCAACAGCTAGTAACAATTATTTGTATCCGTTTTTCACATTTCAGGACTATATGGAACGCATGGGAATGGATATACGGATGCAGTGCATTCTATGTAACTGGGCAGGACCCAAGATCATTCTCGAGTACCATATACGGAAGGTAATTTGTGTTTGTTTAATTATTTAATTTAAATTGCCGATGTGTGAGGTGATTTGTTCGTCCGCGGGTCACTTACGGGTCTAGTAGGAGACCAGCGCAAGGCCCTGTCTTGTACCTACATGCTGAACTGGTCCCATTTCACCGCAGATTTGGGACATGAACATTTTATCTATCTGTACCTGTAATACTGTGCTTATCACTTGTTTATTATCTTGTAAAATATTTTTTTTTTACTGACATCCTCTTTGGCCTAGTGGTCGCAAGTGCGACTGCCGGGCAAGGGGTCTCGGGTTCGATTCACGGGTCGGGCAAAGTATTACTGGGTTTTTAAAAAATTCTCAGTAGTAGCACGGAGTCTGGAATTGTGTCCGGTATATGGCAACTTTTTTTTATGGGATAAGCCGGTAAACGAGCAGACGGATCACCTGATGGTAAGCAGTCGGCGTCGCCCATGGACACCCAAAACACCTGGGGCCTTACTCTTGAATCCAATTCCGATCGATCGACATTGGTATTGTGAAATTTCGTACTCTCGAGATGCAACACTAGCGCCCATTGCATCCGTATTGCACGGATATTAAATGAACTAAATGGTATTAAGTTTGGCTTTATATTCCGTACCTTGAATGCTATTTTAACAGCTACGATAAGGGTTGTATAGTTTTGACATTGAATAATTATTGAGATTTTGTTGGATTGAAATTGCATTGACATTGAGATTGGTTTCAAGAGTAAGCGCCCAGAGCCGTTACAAGTGCATTACTGACCTTTTGGAATTAGGAATTTAAGGATCGTTGGGAACTCAGGGTTTTGGAAAGGGGGAGAGGGGTAAATAAACATGTTTTATTTTCATAAAAGTAAAGAATAAAGTGTTTCTTTGAATTGAAAATGAAAACACGAAAACCACTCGCAAACCACTCAATAAACAAATCAGAATCATTCAGAAAATAATGGTATTCTTATGGGGTAGGCCGGTAAACGACAGATAGACTGATGGCAAGCAATCGACGCCGCCCATAGACAATCGCAAGACTGGAGGAGTTACAGGTACACGTTGCGGCCCTTTGGGGGTTAAGATTTGAAGACTAGGGATGAACGGAATAGAGCCTCCAGTATATTAACTTACAATATAATTTATGCGTGATTGTGAAATTAGTTTTTGAAATATTACTATCACCTTTCTGTACACAGGAGCACGCCGCCCAGATAGTGGAATGCGTGGGCAGTGAATGCGTGGCGCGCTATAGTCTCGGAGTACTGGCGGCCAGGCGACGATGTCTTACACACGTGTTACAGCTGAAGGGAGATCTATATCTACTGTCCGCGGAGTATAGAGACCCGGATGACTTCATTGCGTCGTTATCTGTAAGTATTACAGAGGGCCAAGCACGAATAACTATCGCATTCGTAAGCGTCCTGATTGGTTGGTTCACTTGAGCCGGCCAATCAGAGCGCCGAACGCGCTCGATACTATTACGTTACGAATGCGATAGTTATTCGTGCTTGGCACTCAGATACTTTAATCTCTGAAAATAAGGATATTTTGATGGGAACCGTTTTACTGATCACCAGATGGCGCCAATGTAGCGTGAGGTAATTTTTCAAAGTATAGGTCGGCAAACAAGAAGTATTAAGATGAGGGTAAGCAATAATTGCCGGAGGATTGGGTTTCTCTCATTCGGATTCTCTCAATTTACTAGGAGAAATTAACGCAAGAGAGGACCAAGATTAGGCACGAATGGACCAATTAGATTGGTGTGATATCATAGCACCAGAGAAAACGAGCGTCAAACAATATGTAGGTAACGGTACCGGAGGCCCAAACCCTCTCACCCCTCACTCGTAAAAGGTTGACGGCAGACTTGTAACTCTGCTTCAGCCGGTGCTGATTGCTTACCATAAGGTGATCCATCTACTCAGTATTCCTATCTCATGAAATAATATGTATAATAATCCATGAAACTTTAACACAAAACTTGATCTTCTCAAATATCTTCCCACAGACACTATCGTACGAGCCGGACGCTCCGAAGACCGGCAGCATGACGATCTACAACAAGGTAACAGGAGAACCGTTCACTTGGCAGGGAGAAATCACAGACTTACCACTCTGCATGCCATGCGAAAATAGCCCTAATTGCTTCAAAGTTCCACTGTCTAGAATGGACCTTTTGCCTAACAGCGCTAACTTGATACTGTTAAATCGTGAATTAGTTGTTCGTTCCCCCACCAAGGTGGTTGTTGGTCAGCCAGAGTTAGATGATATACATATCAATTTGATTGTTAAGATTTTTGACTGAGAAACTAAGTTGATGGACTTCTGAAGCTAATTTACAGTGATTGGTGAAAATATATGAATCTTTTGGTGAGTTTGGTCCTAAATTAATTATTGTGTCTTTGGCTTACTCGTGTAACTATTTGGCGAGGAACTCGACTAGTTTCATGAATGAATGCTGCTAATGAATATGAGCCTCCAGCATGGCTTTAAACTAATCGAGTTCCTCGTCAAACAGTTATTTGAGTAATCGGAAAAACATAATAATTAATTTAGTATGTCTCACGAGTTTTCTACTGTTAAATGCGGTATTTTACATATTGTACTTTCTTTCTAATATTTTTCTGTTTTTTTATGGTTTTACCATATATTTTGAGAGTTTTAGATACTACATTCGTCAGTTGAAATGACGTTATATTAGCCAAGTTAAGCAAACGTGATTACAGATCTCAATTACTAGTATAGTAAGATTTTGTTACTTTTTTTATACTTTTTAAATGTATTATTTTGCACCTGGTACGTATTGATGTACAGATTGATATATAAACACTGTCAGGAACTATAGGCCCGTTCCCAAGTTTAGATTCTTACAATTTTCTGTCAGTACTCAAAGGGCTAAGATTATATTCGAAGCTTGTTTTTAGATTTATATCAACTCGAATTGTTAATTACTACCAGTGTTACTGAGGCTACGACTAAGACAGTATTTTTATTTTAAGGTGTTCCCACACAGCAGTTATATAACGTTAGAGACTTAAGTATCTCATTTGTTTTTTAAACAAATTATAACAAAAGTGTTGTTGATGAAGCGAAAGAGGTATGTAGGAATAGTAATAACTAGCTTCTGCCCGCGACTTCGTACGCGCAATCCCGTTCTTTCCAGTTCCCGTTCGTGGTTTTCAGTAAAAAGTAAAAAAAAAATCGATGAAAAAGTATCCTATGTCCGTCTCCTGGTTCTAATCTACCTGCCCACCAATTGTCATCCAAATCGATGTAGCCGTTCTTGAGTTCTAAGTAGTGTAACTAACACAACTTTCTTTTATATATATAGATTGGCGTTCTATAGGCTCTGCCTACCCCCTTGGGAGATAGACATAAAGTTATGTATGTATAACAAAAGTTGTAGTAGTAACTTGACATATTGTAGAAGTATGTTACTAAATGTTCGTGTTACACAATGTGGTGTAACGTTATGTAACTGCAGTGTGGGAGCACCTTTACAATTGTACCTATGTATAACTTGTGATACCGAAGTCATTTAAGTAAATGTCATTTAAAAACGTACAATACGTTTACTAAGTTAACGTATAAAGTCATACTTTTAAGAAAAGTAATATAACTCTTTCAGAACTGATTTAGTTTATAAGATCACTATGAATCTTATTAAAATTCAATATGGCGGACAGCCGCCATTTTGGATTCGTTTACTTTTGACGTATTTTTTATCGTTTTTATTTTTGTTTAGTTTATAAGATCAATGAAAACATGTTGTTCCTCAAATCGTGTGCCATATTGTTCGTCTGATAGCATTTATCAAGTACGAATCTTTAGTATTTTTATCTCTTTGATTTTTATACAAATTCTATATACTAGTACGTCCATGATTTCAATTTATGGATTGTAAAAGTTGTATTTTGTTAGTATAAGAAGTCTATGAAGATAACGAATGTTATCTGGACTTTAGTAAGTCCAAATCTTTGGACAAATTGTATATTAGCGTTAGTCGCATGAGTGACGCTACGGACTTACGTCGCGATTTTCTCCCGCGCCCACCGCTTGGCGGAATGGAAATTGATTTTCAAAAATAAGATCGCACATTCTACAAAGGTTGCGGGCCCGCGGACACGGAAGAAAATCGCGCTGTGATTCCTTAGCCTGAATAAGAAAGTACGCTTTCGACTATCACTTACATGCCATCTGCCTAAGAAAGCACAAGACTCTTATTTATATATTTTAATAATACTCGTTTGTATGGTAGGATTGTTCCTAATTAGAGCTATAAGCTATATTCAAGTCTGAAATGAAAGACAAAGACTGTTTATGTTAAAAATAGGACATTTTATATTTACATGATTACTTGCTATAAAGGACAAGTATAAAGGCAGATACCATGTCGACCCATTTATAAGTTTCGAGTAAATTACTCAAATCGATTATTGTAAAGTTCATATAAGCATTTCGCTACACACAAATATATATTCGACAAATTATGTTGATTCCCTAAAAAGTCAAGAATCAAAATCATTAACTCTAATATTAGACTAGTTAAAAGCACTTTTGGACGTCAAATAAAGGAGGCCACACACGCTAGGGTTTGCATGATGGTTATAACTTTGCATGCAAAACCGACAAACATAACCGACCACCGATGTACTGATAACTACAGTTTGATCACATGCACGATTTTTTTTTAAAGGGGGAAAATCATCGAATTACTGCTCCCGCCTGGGTGAGGCGGGAGGAAGTGTCAGACTCTTACTGACTAAAAACCACCCCGTTCCTTCTCCTGCACGTCGAGCCCCGGTTACCCGTTAGGTTCTCCGCGACATCACATACACGCTAGGGCTTGCCTGTCGGTTATGCGTGCACTGCTAAAACGCATGCAAAACATAGCGTATACATATAGTTCTATAGTGAAACTATTTGCCCCGAATACTAAAAGACTACTCAGTTTTAGGACCGTGACTGATGGCATGATATTTAAGCACAACTTAAATTTGAGAAACTTTCAGTATTCAGACGTAAAGGTGTTAGATTGAGTTCTCTATTTACATAGACCAGTTAACGTTCAAATTAGTTATTTTGTTTGTGTAATTTATTCTTTCGAAACCTTTATTAATTTTATGTAACTTTGTTATTATTATATAAACTCTCCAGGGTAGGAGGGAATCGTTTCCGAAAACGCAGTCGAACAATTTTAACTTCTACAATTAATTTTTTTTTCATGTTATTCATGCAATAACAGAACAGCCTCTTTTATAAAAGGAAACATTTTAATTTCTTACTTTTTTGAAAACATAACTCGTTTTTTAATCGACTTCCCAAAAATGAGGACGTTATGAATACGGCTGTATGTTTTTTTTTTACTATAACCTGTCTTTGTTTTTTGGAAGCGTGCTCCTTTCCCTGTATATCTAATTTAAATAAAAAAAACTATATCTTTAGTTGATTGTTGATTACTAATAAAAAATACTTAACCAAGTTGATTTGTTAACATATTATAATCACTTTAACCATTGTTTTGTTTGACACTTCTTTTTATTATTGTTTTGTTTTTTATAAGTTTGTTTTTTGATCACATTTTGTCTTGATTAGACAAATTTTTTAGCGACAATGCTATGGTGAATGTTCACCATGCATTTAGATAACTACATGATGTTGTAAGGCTGATTTATACCAAAATAAAGATGTTTAATCAATAATTTGTTTTAATCTATTTTCAATTTTCTCCATTATTAAACTAGAATCCTGTAACAACATTGATTACTGGATATTATCCACATTTTCAATCCGTATTTCATTTAAAAAGAGTGTGATTTTCATTTAGGCTGGTTTTAGGCTTGAATGTTAACCGTGTCGCTGCGGTCGAAAGAAGGCAATGTTTGAAAGGACATACAAAAAAGGTTTTTAACAATTAGCATTGCTCACAAACTAAACTGCTAATGATGTTGATGTCATAATGCAATAAAAACAATAATACTGTCAAAATCTGACACCTGACAATATTTCCTGATAGTTGTTTATGTTATAAAGGTTTATTGTTTTTGTAAATAATTATCTATTGCTCTCGTTGATAATAATAACTATGGAGCCGCCGCCGCTGCCGCCGCGACAGGCGGTTCCCAAAGACGGGATAGGTCCAAGAGGTTTACCAGAAACATACCATGTAAGTATAGAATCTTTTGTACCTGTATACTATTATTTTACATACCTTCCTATACTTAGTCGCAGGCCACACAAGCGCGACGCGTCTTGCGTCTGATATGGAAAGACGATGATAGGGAAAGACAATCATGCGGGTTGAACGGGGGCGGCCACGGTGGCGTGACTAGCGCTCATCGCAGCTACGCAAGACGAGTCACGCTAACGTGGCTTGGGACTTGAATTAGATCTAGGATGTTTGGAAACAAACTATAGGGATATGATTGCATCTGACCGGTCCAGACACCAGTTTTCTGTGCTTGTATACTTTTCAAACCTAAACTTCGCAGTGGCCATTAATTTGTTCGAATATTTACAAGACGACCTAACATGTTGTTCTGTTGGTTTTCTGGTGAGATAGGCAGAGAAGCGCTCTTTTTGTAGACTTACAATATATCGTCGTAGAGAAGAAGGGTGAATGGATACCTACAATGAGGAATTTCCCAATCCCTATTCACCCCTAATTTATCTATATTCACCCCGTTATACGGTGCTTTATTTACGTGTCCAGACGGCCCGTGTTCTGGATTCGACCGCCCGCTACGAAAGATTTATAAAAAAACTGCGCACTTTGGAGGAGGAGCAGAAGCGGGGCGCCATCAACACTGAGAAGGATTTGAAAGACACTCAGTACAACGACTTCTTTATCAGATGTGATCGAAGGTATGTATGTACACGTGACTAGATAAATAACAGTTTATTATGGTCTCGGTTTATATGATCGTTTCGCACAATCGACACGGTCAGTATCGACCACAGAAATATTTATTACTAGCTTTTACCCGCGGCTTCGTTCGCGTCACAAAAGGATTAAAAGTAGCATGTGACATAATAATATACCAATACCCACAGCGCCATCTATACATATGGATAAAAAGTACCCTATTATTTAATCCGGACTTTTAGCTTTACGTCTGCAAAAATTCAAAGCAATCGATTTAGTAGTTACGGCGTGAAAGCGGAACAAACAAACAAACTCACTTTCCGATTTATAATATTAGTAAGGATATCTATGGTATCGACGATCTGTTTATACTGGTTTTGCATACCTTAATGTGCAGTTACGTGTCTATGTAACTGATACTAATTTTGTTCGGAACAAACGCGGTACTGAACTTACAGAGGACTCATTCATTAAGATGGTGAAACACAACAAGTATTGTTTCAAAGTTCAAACTCCCTCCCCAGTCGTCGCCTTCAATATGGAGTAACACCTCCAGTATTGCGGATGTCCACTGTCCATGGCCAGTACCGTCTTTACAATAGGGGCAGTCGGGGCCTGTGCCCAGGGCCTCCATCCTCAAAGGGCCACGAAGGACCGACAATTTTACGACGGACACGGCAACCGGTTGTCGCACAACTTATAGCGGGTTCAATTCTGGCACGGCGCAAATCTTTGTTTGCTCCACAAATTGTTGTCAGGTCTGGGTGTCATATATATATGTGAACTTGTTTGTTTGTAAATGCACCCAGGATACAGGAGAAAATCCTAGTGTGAGGCAACGTTAAAAAACATTTCAAAACTGCCCCGAATTATTGTGAGCCCAAAGGGCCCAGCGTCGGTTTTTTTTTAATAATTTATTCAGCTGCATGCATGTTACTTAATTCTAAGCATCGCCGAACTGTTCAACAATTTGTTGGCAAAAATAGCGCTCTTAACTTTCATTTTTATACACGTATACAATTTACTATTAGTAGGTTTTTTTACGGCAGGCACACATCACTATAAGTACCTACATGGAATATCGTTTTACAACAATGCTTCTTTTAGTCTTTATTGATTGTTAACCTACTACATTCTTTATGTCTTCTAGGTAGTCTAAGACGGCCCTGTCCATGGGTCACACCGATTGCTTACCATAAATTGATAGCTCAGCTCGTTTGCCGCCCTATACCGTATTAAAATTGTAACTGAAACATAGCTTTCCGTTGATTGAAGGTCACTAATAAACAACGTGGCTCGAAGAGTTGATCTCTGTTTGTCATCGTATGAAGAAGATCTCCAGGCTAAGAGAGCTAGGTAAGTAAATTTTTACAATCATTACCTACCTACAACCAGTCATATGTAACCGACTGAGGAATGCCTAGTAGTCTTTTTTTTAAGGGGGGAAAATCATCGAATGACTGCTCCCGCCTGGGTGAGGCGGGAGGTAGTGACAGACTCTTACTGACTAAAAACCACCCCGTTCCTTCTCCTGCACGTCGAGCCGGAGCTCCGGTAACCCGTTAGGTCCTCCGCGACATGCCTAGTAGTCTGGGAGAGTATACATGGCCAGGGCCGGATTTAGGGGGGGGCAACCGGGGCGAAAGCCCCGGGGCCTTCAAAAGCAAAGCCTCCACAATAGAGACTTCGGAAAAAAAAATCTTTGAAATTTCAACTAGTAAACCTAGTAAACATCTTTTCTTTGATATTTTTTTTTCGTTTTTACCTTTACCTATAGCCTAAAGTACTTTATACATACATGATTATTTGATTATATTAATTTTAAATATTAACAGAAACAGAAATCATTGATCTATATTTGTTCACACCAATCAGGCAATCAGTGAAATATCAAAATCTCAAATGGCTCTGATAAGCACTTCCAATTTACGACCCATCTTGAGGGAGTACCCCAATGGCTCAATGGCTCAGTGGGATGGTACTTGCCCGCAACCTCGGAGGTTGGCTATTCGATTCCGTGTCTCGACCATTAAAAAAAAAAAAATATATATACATATAAATTAATTGCAGTATGTGAACAATTGGTATTCTTCAATTCTTAAACTCGAAATCTGTCGAGCGTCCTCGAAATCTATCGAGCATCCTCGATTGTTTTCGAGCGTCCTCGAAATCTATCGAGAGTCCTCGATCGTTTTCGAGCGTCCTCGATCGTTTTCGAGCGTCCTCGAAATCTATCGAGAGTCCTCGATCGTTTTCGAGCGTCCCCGATCGTTTTCGAGCGTCCTCGATCGTTTTCGAGCGTCCTCGATCGTTTCCGAGCGTCCTCGATCGTTTCCGAGCGTCCTCGATCGTTTTCGAGCGTCCTCGATCGTTTTCGAGCGTCCTCGAAATCTATCGAGAGTCCTCGATCGTTTTCGAGCATCCTCGAAATCTATCGAGAGTCCTCGATCGTTTTCGAGCATCGTCGATTGTTTTCGAGCGTCCTCGAAATCTATCGAGAGCCCTCGATCGTTTTCGAGCGTCCTCGATCGTTTTCGAGCGTCCTCGAAATCTATCGAGAGTCCTCGATCGTTTTCGAGCGTCCCCGAACGTTTTCGAGCGTCCTCGATCGTTTTCGAGCGTCCTCGAAATCTATCGAGAGTCCTCGATCGTTTTCGAGCGTCCTCGATCGTTTCCGAGCGTCCTCGATCGTTTCCGAGCGTCCTCGATCGTTTTCGAGCGTCCTCGATCGTTTTCGAGCGTCCTCGATTGTTTTCGAGGGTCCTCGAAATCTATCGAGAGTCCTGGATCGTTTTCGAGCGTCCTCGATCGTTTTCGAGCGTCCTCGATTGTTTTCGAGCGTCCTCGATCGTTTTCGAGCGTCCTCGAAATCTATCGGGCGTCCTCGAAATCTATCGAGCGTCCTCGAAATCAATCGAGCGTCCTCGATCGTTTTCGAGCGTCCTCGAAATCTATCGAGAGTCCTCGTTCGTTTTCGAGCGTCCTCGATCGTTTTCGAGCGTCCTCGATCGTTTTCGAGCGTCCTCGATTGTTTTCGAGCGTCCTCGAAATCTATCGAGAGTCCTCGATCGTTTTCGAGCGTCCTCGATCGTTTTCGAGCGTCCTCGAAATCTATCGGGCGTCCTCGAAATCTATCGAGCGTCCTCGATCGTTTTCGAGCGTCCTCGATCGTTTTCGAGCGTCCTCGATTGTTTTCGAGCTTCCTCGAAATCTATCGAGAGCCCTCGATCGTTTTCGAGCGTCCTCTATTGTTTTCGAGCGTCCTCGAAATTTATCGAGAGTCCTCGATCGTTTTCGAGCGTCCTCGAAATCTATCGGGCGTCCTCGAAATCTATCGAGCGTCCTCGAAATCAATCGAGCGTCCTCGATCGTTTTCGAGCGTCCTCGATCGTTTTCGAGCGTCCTCGATCGTTTTCGAGCGTCCTCGATTGTTTTCGAGCGTCCTCGAAATTTATCGAGAGTCCTTGATCGTTTTCGAGCGTCCTCGATTGTTTTCGAGCGTCCTCGAAATCTATCGAGAGTCCTCGATCGTTTTCGAGCGTCCTCGATTGTTTTCGAGCGTCCTCGAAATCTATCGAGAGTCTTCGATCGTTTTCGAGCGTCCTCTAAATCTATCGGGCGTCCTCGAAATCAATCGAGCGTCCTCGATCGTTTTCGAGCGTCCTCGAAATCAAGCGAGCGTCCTCGATCTCAATCTGGAAAATAATTTGGGGCAAGGGGGCCTCCACTCCTTTGTTGCCCCGAGGCCTCTGGACCCCTAAATCCGGCCCTGCAAGTGTAATACCGCCTTTACGTACCTTTTGCACATTTTCAAAGTGAAATAACTTTTGAACCCAAAGTTCTAAAAATATGTAATTTTTTCTAAACTTCATAATAAAAATATCTATTGTTCAGATCATTTACTTGGTAAGAACAATGACAAATACAAAATTTTATAGCGGTACAAAACCTCCATACAAACCTGCCATTCTCCTTTTTCTACATAAAAACTCAATTTCTCTACATAAATTATCTTTTGGAATCATAAATTCCATTGCAGTGTGTCATCACCCTAACTTTCATCTACAGATACATAATATTCTATCATATTTCGGTAGGTATATAACAAACGCACAGACGCATCGCGGGCACCCGCCGAGAGTCGAACGGACGCATATTCGAGTTTCGGGCACACGGTGAGAGCCGTAAGAACGCGTATATGAGTTTCCGGCACATGAAAAGGGCAAACATTGAACGCAATAGTGCGTGCGGGGCACTGTGTTATGTCTTATAATTCGGGCACTGGAGAAAATCACTGGGCA